TTGTAATCTTTAGTTCCTTCTAGTTCCCTCTAGTGTCCAATTTTTAAAGTCTTATCTTTTTAAAAAAAAATAATGAAAAAACAAAAGCATTTTCCCATGGGAAAGGTTCTTTTAATTAATTCCAAAATCTTATTTCAAATTTATCTGGATCTTTAGTCTGTTTGTAACTTTCTAAAACCAAAGTTTTAATCACCCATTTGCTGTTTATTCCAAAAAAAATTTTTTTAAGTCTTTAAACTTATGTTTAAAACTTTTTTTTTTACTAAGGATTGAAGGAAACTCACCAGGTGCTATAAAACTTGTTGATCCAAAGATTCCTAATAGTTGAAAAGCAATTCATAAGCAATTTCTGAAAGTGATTAGAAAAGGAAGTATGTGAATCCAGTGTCCTTTCAAAGGCACCGACCGTGGTTTGAGCAAGACGGCTATTCCCTCATCTCCCAGTGCATTAAACCTGCCGGAGACTGCTGTCTTGTGGCCTCCTTGTGATAAGTAACTGTGGGCGATTTCAAGTCTTCTCCTTGTCCAGAGAGGAATAATCAAAGAGCTGATTTACTTGCTGGCTATTCATTCCACCACAGTCGTTGGGTCCACTTTTGACGGAGCCATCTTCAGTCCACCATTTCTTCCCCAGAAGTCTCTTAGTACATTTTTTTCCAATGGATATTCAACTATCCAGGGTTATTCAGCATGCTCACTTTTCATCAATCTGTTGGGGTTTGTCTGTTGCCATGTTTTATTTTAAAGGATTGTTTTAAGTTTTTCTGGCATTGCATTCCATTGATCTTGGGATTTTCAATGTAAGCTGCAGATACCTTCCTCTTGTTTTTAGTTATCCCTCTTGGTTACCAGTTCTGTCATCATCTGGGCTTCCTTTTAGAGAGTGTTGGTTTATTATTTTTGACTGAGTTCCTAGGTCTGTAAAATCAAATTCAGTAGCACTGGACAGCATCAAACAGTTGTGCCTTGTTAAAAGCCAATTTGGTGGTCTGCCAGCAATGTATAAAAATATAATTTCAGATGCAGGAAGAGGAGGGCTAAACTCAGAAGAATCAGCCACCTAATACAGTTAGATCAATCTTATGTCTGACCAACAGATGCCTCACAAAAGTTCAAAGAAAACCAGAATAGCTGTCCATGGGGTCTGGTAATCAAAAATAGATTTTGATTGAGGGTACGGACATCACTTTGCAGTCTGTCTCTGTAAAATTATATAATCTCATGTGCTGTGCTAACAATCCTCCTCTTCATCAATTACCAACACATATGGTAATTGACATTGTCTCAACTGCAGCTTCTTACCTCCCTCGTTCTGATTCTTTAGCTTGCCAGGATTAATATACAGTTAATATACTAATGCTAAAGGTCCCTGAGGCTAAATCTCGTATTCCACCACAAAAAGAGAACTAGTGAAGGGGATGCCTCTCTCTCATCAGCTATGCAGCTATTTTACAATAGCATTAGAAGAAGGGACTCATTTCTAAACATAACTTTCTAAGGTTTCCAACCCGTAAGCAAACTGAGAATGGTTGTACAATATGTCATGAAACACTCATAACTCCTGCTGATCAGTCTACAGTATAAGACAATGCAAGATGCCAGACATTACCCTGTAACTTGACAAGCCTCAGTAGGCTTCCTACTTAGGAGGAAGAGAAAGTACTTTCTAAGTTTATTCCAAAGAATGCTTCAAAATGTCAAAGGAAAGAAGGATGATCAAGAGTGGTGTGGAAAAATAAGGGGACAACTCTGCTGGCTTGGCTTTGATCTTGCATGCTCTAGGGATAAACCTACGGTAGCAAGAGGTCTGCGCCAACAAACTGCAAGGTGGTTCATTTCAGTTCTGCCCCAGTGAAAAGAAATGGTCCTGAACCTTCCATCTGTAGCAGAAAAGCTTTGCCTGATATAACAGCAGGAGCCATAAAAACATCTATTTCCAGTTAAGATGAATACATGTAAAACCTGCTTGAAAAAATGATCAAGGCCTATAGTTTATTTGTCAAAGCAATGATGTACTTTTGTCCAGCTTATCATTTCTTTGGTACGGTAGGAGGAAATTTGTTTTAGGATTATTGCTATCATAAATAAATACCTTTTTCACACGGAAGACAGTTCAAAAGTATGAGGAACAAAGGAAAAGTTAAACATTTTCTTTTCCCCCAGGACTAGCAAAATGTATAATTAAGCATCTCTATTAGGCTTAGCTGAAACTAGCTATAGCAACTGGCTTTTTAAACATGAAAGCAAATTAATTGTTGATGTTGCTAGGATTTAATCAAAAGCTTTGCTAAGTGTATTGCTGATGATTTAGTTTCTGAATAAATTGTAGAAGTATCAAAGATATAAACAATCAAATTACAATTAAAAATACATATGCTATTTACCTTCTGGGTAAACAATAACGTGCAAAGTGCAGAAAAAGTTTTTTAAAAATGTAACCTAGAAGTGTGAGATAAAGAGAAAATATAGCTAAATCTAGTTTTCAGCAACACAACTCATTGTATCTTTCCACAGTGCCAGCTGAAGGGAACATGATACCCTTCAGGCCACACTGACTGACTGTTCCACCTCCTGCCAATGCAAAGATCTGCATTTTTAGAATGATTAATTTAAAGTCTGCTCTGTGTGATGTGACCTTGGAAACCACAGCTTGGTTTGTTGCTGCACCAGAGCAGAGTTGCCGACTATAATCAATTGAAAATTGTTAAGCCTTAATGCAAAATTAGCCAAAAATCCTGTATTAACAATACAAAAGGTTGGCTCTGTAAAGGTTGATGAAATTGTATGGCACCTTTTATTTCCCAAGTTTCAGTAAAGCCAA